ATGCTATTATAACTATACAAAGATAATGGACATAAACCAGGACTTATCTGGGCAAAACTCAGCATATGGTCTTCCTACTAGTGAAGCATAATAACCCATGCACCTGACTAGAAATTAAAAACCTAGAATGTTGCCTCTACTGCCCACCTTCATACTCCTTCCCTTATACCTCATCTCCTGAACTTTTTGTTTATAATTTTAATGATTTTTAAAAATATTATTCAATGAAAAATATGTATGTGTTCTCTGGATTCTTTATTGTTTAGTTTTGCTTGCTTCTGTACTTCATGAAAATGGTATCATTCTGCCTGTCATCTTTTGCAATTTGATTTTTTCACTCATTATGTTTTTGAATTTTATCTAAGTTGTCTCTGTCACTGTAGTTCGTTTATTATTTGTTGTTGTTCAGTTGCCAAGTCTTGTGCAACTCTTCGTGACCCCATGAACTGCAGCATGCCAGGCTTTTCTGTCCATCACTATCTCCCTGCGTTTGCTCAAACTCAAGCCCATTCAGTCAATGATGCCATCCAACCATCTCATCTTCTGTCACCCCCCTTTTCCTCTTACCCTCAATTTTTTCCAGCATCAGGGTCTTTTCCAATTTATTAATAGTTACATAATATTCCATTGTAAAATTCATCCTGAATTATTTACCCACCCTCCTGTTGATAGATTCTGTAGTTCTTTCAAGATATTGTTTGCTATCACAAATTAGGCTCTGTGAATATTCTTTTCTATGTCTCTGAATGTACAGGTGTAAGAGTATATCTGGTTATATCTTCAGGAGTAGAATTGTTGAATCACATGATAAATCTTCAACTTCACTAGAGAATAAAAATTGTTTTCAAAAATGTTATATCGTATTTTTTCACATTCTCAGCTTAACTTAAGCATTACCCAATATTTTCACCCATCCTCATTAAAGTATTAATCAACAAATAAAAGTTTGATACATTTAAAGTGTACAACTTGGTGTTCTGATGTATGTATACACTGTGAAATAACAGTCAAGCTAATTAACATATCTGTCCCCTCAGTGTGTGTGGGCATGTGTATCGAAAACAAATAAGATTTACCCTCTAAACAAATTTTAAGTACAGAATACAGTATTGTTAACTATATTTGCATTTCTATGCATTGAATAACCAGACTTATTCATGTAACTCATGCTTTTTTAAGTCCTTCTTTTCTAAGAATTTACATCTACTCATTTCCTTTTAATTATTATTTTACTTGCGGTCCACAAATCTGATAAAAGACATTTTCATTATCATTCAGTTCTAGCTGTTTTTAGTTTTTATTGTAACTTATTCTTTGACTTATCAGTTACTTAGAAATGCATTTTTAAATTTCTAAACACAGAAACTTAATGTATTTTTGGCCACTGTTACCTAATCCAGTTGTACCATGGTAAGAAATACGGGTTGTTTGGCACCTATTCTTTGAAATTTTTGAGAATGCCTTCCTGGTTCAGATTTTTTTCTTTAACTATTGTATGTATGGTTGAAAAGACAATTTTCTATTTTTTTGGACCGGCCTTCTATTTAAGTGTGGTACATCAATATGTGATTAAAAATCTTCCCTATACTTAGTTTTTCACAAAGTCTCCCACAGTCTTGGTGGATTTGACAGTTTCTCCCGACTAGTACTGGGCTTTGCAGGTGGTGTTACTAGTAAAGAATTCGCCTGCCAGTGCAGGAGGTGCAAGAGACACAGGTTCGATCTCTGAGTTGGGAAGATATTCTGGAATAGGAAATGGCAACTCACTCCAGTATTCTTGTCTGAAGAATCCCATGGACAGAGGAGCCTGGCAGGCTATGGGGCTGCAGAGAATCAGAAATAACCAAGCAGCAGAAATAACCGACTAATACTATAGACACATGTGTCAATCGCATGCAGTGTGACTAATACTATAGACACATGTGTCAATCGCATGCAGTGTGGCTGGTGCTAAGCTGCTGGGAGAGGACAGAAGCTTCCTGGGCATGAGGGGCCCATGCTGGGGAAGGGACAGAGTCTGCAGAATATCAGCGCTGCAGAGCTCTTTCTCTTTTGGTTGGCAGAGCAGGTTACCTTCCTACCACAGGTGAGGTCCACAACTGTGCTCTAGGCTGGAGGCTGGGCTGGCTCAATCTGTGTGTGAGCAAAGCAAAGTGATTCCTTTATTCAATAAAAGCTCCTGAGACCCTATGCTGTGTCAGTTGTGGGGCTCAGTGCTCTGGCCCCTGACCTCACAGGCTTCCAGTCTAGTGGGAGGCATCCCAACACCTATGAAAGAGCAGCCTCAGGTTAAGAGCTGGGCATTTATTATAGGGGCATGGGGTGGGGCAGCCCATTCTGGCCGGGAAAGCATCAGACCACACTGAGACTCCAATCACTCCCAGGTCCACTGGCTAGGTGATGTCAGGCTGTTTTTTCAGATTCCAGCTTATGAGACCATTTTTAGTCTCTGTATTTTCCACTCTTCTATTCAGGTGGGTAGAAGATGCTGCATTTTCTGGCCTTAGGAGGTTGTGGCTGGGTGAAAAAGAAGAAGTTGCTGCAGAAACTTCCCTTTGTGGGTTTAAATATGAATGCTTGAGCCCTGGAAGAGATCATAAGAGGTATTCTAGAGCAGAAGTTACACACTGCTATTCGGTTTGACTTGCCACACGTGAGGGCTTCCCCAGTGGCTCAGCGGTAAAGAATTCACCTGCAGTGCAGGAGATGCAGGAGATACGGGTTCGATCCCTGGGTCAGGAAAATCCCCTGGAGAAGAGAATGACTACCCACGCCAGCATTCTTGACAGGAAAATCCCATAGACAGAGGTTCCTGGAGGGCCACAGTCCATGGGGTCACAAAGAGTCACAGACGACTGAAGCGACTGAGCATGCACACTGCCTGTGAAGACATTTTAAAATTAGTTGCCAAAAATTGCAAAGTCTGATGTCACATCAGCTTGGGACCTCTTTGTGTACCTGAAACCTTGGGCCCACCTGAAGCTCCACTGGTGTGTTTTCTGCAGCCCACAGCCACTGCCTGTAGATTATTATGTCTGCACTGACATTTTCTTTTAGTTCGCTTAGGGGAAACTGAAATATCTCTCCTACAAATGTCTTCATTAAGTAGGATAAAGATTTTTAAAATCCACATGTTTCAGGAGAAGCAAGAGAGAGTATGTTTCCTGGTGCAAGTGAAGACTGAGCCAAAGTGTTTAAAATGAAATAAAGTGTATCTGGGTAAAAGGATGAAACTTAAAGGCATCAAAATGAAGAAACCTGTGTTCCCCAGAAACGGTCTACTCCACTCATGTGGAGACTCAGAGGAGCAAACACAGCTGTTCTGAAGGGGTCCTGTCAGTGGGTGTCAGCGGCTGCCAGTGCAACCTGATGGCCTCTGGCGGGACAGATGGACCTTGGCAGTGGGTGCCACCCATGGAAGGCATAGTGCAGTGTGAGAGGCACAGACTGCCAGCCAAAGGCTTGGGCTCAATACCTAGCTGAGTGGACCTGGGGGTACCACACACCTCAGTGATGTCGTTCCCTCCTCCATCAAAGGAAGGCCAGTGCTAACACCTGACTCAGAGGGTTGGGATGAGGGTCAAACAAACTCACATTCTAAGATTGCAAGCTCTCACTGAGTTAGCTGTGTTAGGGATTTGGCTGAGGGATCCCAAGAAAAAAGTGTTCAGTTTCTGCCCACTCATTTAAATGGAGCTCTACAACTGTCATTAATTTGATTTATGTTTTTGCAAGTGACGTTTCTTGCACACTGGAGTTGGTGCCTTGATAGTTAAATATGTGTCAAGGAGAAGTATGGAAACACATGACCCCAGATTTGTGGGCTGAGTCCGTGTTAACAACCAAGGGTCCTCCGAGGTTGGACACTTAACCTGGGATCTGTGAACTTGGATGGGAAAAAATTCCATCTCTGTCCTCTAACCTCTAATGGAAACTTAGCTTTTCCTGCTAATTCAAGTGCAGCCACTAAGCCACAGTGGCATTACCAGACAGGTGATTTTATTACTAGTAGGAGCAGTGAATATGTCCATCCATATTTCAGTTGTTAGAGACATCTCTCAATATCATTTTATCATGGCATCAAGATCCTGGTAACTATTTCACTTGATGCTACGCCTTGTTATTTACTGGGTGGGTAAAGAAGCACATATATTTCTGTATCACAAGTCTGTTTTCTAGATATTTGGATAATTGTATTTCAAAATAACTGGTTTCTTTTATAATCCTTGTGTGTGTGTGTGCATGTGCTAAATCGGGTGCTAAATCATTCAGTCATATCTGACTCTTTGTGATCCCATGGACTATAGCCCACCAAGTTCCTCTGTCCATGGGATTCTCCAGGCAAGAATACTTGAGTGGGTTGCCGTTTTCTTCTCCAGGGGGTCTTTCTGACCCAAGGATTGAACCGGTGTCTCTTTTGTCTCCTGCATTGGCAGGCAGGTTGTTTACCACTAGCACCACCTGGGAAAGGATCCCTAAGTACCTTATTTGGGCACTTAAACATTTTATTCTGGGAAGAAATCCATAGGCCTCTGGAACCTAAAGGAGTCTGTGGTCCTAAAATAGTGATTGGCTATGCTGTGGGCTTGGGGGTACTTCCTGTCCTTGCCTCAAGGCTGGAGGGCTGGGAGCTACTGCAGGAGCTGCACCTCCAGGCAGGCCAGCTTTGCCCACATCCCTCTCTGAGACTCACCAGCTGGGGTCTCTGGGGAAGAATCTGCACCCAGTCACACTTGTGAGGGGAAGATCTTAGGAGATAATATTGGTACTGTTCCCCCCGGTGACCCCCTCTCACGCCAGATGCCCTCATTGTGGACCAGCTCCCCTTGGCTGCCTGCACTTGCTGGGATGACAGGGCTGAGAGGAACTGAGCAGTGTTGGGCTGTGGCGGCAGCTTCCTTCCCCATCTGTCACGTGGGACTTGGCTCCCGTTCCCCAGAGCTTTGGGTCACATAGTCCCCCCTTTCTGCCCTTTAAGAAGCCCTGAGCAGAACGCCAACATGCACTCTGCGGCCAGAATGCTGAGAGTCCTCCTCCTTCTCCTTGGTAAGTGGTGTGTAGAAAGGGGGCTCATGTTCCCCTTTCTTGGCTGGGGCGGGGGCTCCACAGTGAGTCAGAAACTGGGGCTTGCTAGCCCACTGGGGCTCAGTCCCTCAAGAATGCATGTGTCCCTTCAGACAGATGGCTTTTCTCACTGTGATGGGAAGGTGAGAAAAGCTTTTGGTCTGTTTCACTCCAGCTGCGGCTGACAAATGCTTCTGGGACTGCAGAGGACAAGACGTTTCCTGTGGCAGAAAAAGCTTTGGGGTTGAGACCTAGACAAATCTAGCTTTAAAATGTGGCTCCATTGCTGGCAAAACAGAGCTTCTTAGAGTCGCAGTTTCTGAACCAATAAAAGGGAGAACAATAATGTTTACCTTCTAGGATTGTGTGAAAATTAAGTTAAATTTAATTAAGTCAAATGAAAATAATTATGTAAAATGAGAAAATGTAGATATGTAGATGCTTTTCTATTGTTAATGGTGAATCAGTCTTATTATGCAATAAAGCATGCTCTTATTTACTCAGAGGTATTTGTTTTTTAAAGTCATTTTTAATCCTGTGATCAAAAGAGGAATGAAGGGAGAGAGGCAGAGACTAATAGAAAAACAGGGAGATATAGAGGGAGAAAAATCAGGCCATAGAAACAGAGAGGAAAAACCCAAAAGAGATAGCGATCAAGACAGAGTGATGGTTAGAAAAATGCATAGATAACAGAAAAGGAAAGAGTCTTGAGACTTTTTGCAAAATTGTCTTTAACATCAACTGTTATTTCTTAAAAAGGCAATGGATGTCTGTCATCTACACAAAGAAGCTCTTTGCCAAAGCTTGCACTGAGTCAAGACTCAGAGGCAAGCAGTCTATCTCGATTTAACGTTCTGTCTCTCGAGTAACAGCCTGTATCCTGGACATGAGCAAAATTATTCTCATGGGCAGGACTTTGTCTAAAGCCTGCACTAAGCCCAGGAAAGAATAAAGCTCTTGACCTCCGGGTGTTAGCATGTCAGACAGATAGCAGCCTCGGCATCTGTCGGTTTACACGTGGAAATGGTGTGTAAAACCAGTGTTGGTGGCAATGAAAGGATGGTGAAACCCAGGCAGCCAGAACTAAGGATGTACAGGACAGACTATGGGAGGTGTGCCTGGTAAAAGTGCCAGAAGGTAGTGCAAGTTTTAACCCTTGTTTCTGCTTTTGACCTAAGTAGATACACAAACATGGGGGGAAGAAGTTAAATTTAAGGAGCCTCGTGAAAAAAAGGTGCAAATTATATGAACAGGCAATTCACTGAAGAATGACAAATAGAAATAAACCCTTAAAATGCTCATGCTCACAAGTAACAAAGAAATAATAACGTCAAACATTTTGGAGTGCATCTGATAAGCTGCATAGTCATATATATTCTGCTCAATACTTTACATTAGCTCATTCTGTCTCCGTGACAGCTCTGAAATTAGTCCCCCTATTATCTGAGTTTTATGGATGAGGTTTGCATTGTGATACTTGGCCAAAGCATCACAACAATTTAGGGCTTTCAAACACTACTAGTAGAGATAGCAGTGATTAGCCTTGTGCGTCCAGCTCTAAACACACTGCATGTTAATCCTTGCTCTGCTCTTTACGAGCCCAGAGAGCATGGGTAGGATATTCATCCTCACTGTGCTCAGTTTTCTTATCTGTAACTTGGGGATAAAGATAGTACCGACTCCACAGGTTGAGAGAATTCAATCTGTTATCATATTTAAAGCATGTAGCCAGTATCTAAGGTGAGGGGAGCATTCGTTATTGAGTACCAAATTCTGTAATCACAATTTGGTAATTTGTAGCAAAATGTAAGCTGTTCATAGCCTTCTACTCCAAAATTCCACTTCCAGGAGCTCATCCTAATAACCTAATAGGGTAAAAGCTCACTAAAATATTTAATAGGATGCTATTCAGCACTGCTGATCACAGTGAAAACCAGAAACTACTGATTACCAGCCAGAATCTGGCTAAATCAATTATGCTCTAAAATTTCCAATGAATCCAGTAAGTTTCATTGAAAGAGTTAACTTTCTCAGAACTGATCTGGGTAGAAGAGAAGAGACAAAGCCATAGTTACAGAGTTTTAGTTATGTCGTCGTATTTTGCACATGTTTTCTTACCTTTCCAAAAACTGACGGAAAGGAAATACAGCAAATGGTTAAAAGTATCCTTCAACTCTTTTTAGGAAATAGGATTATGGGTCATCTTTTAGTTTCTCTGTGTTGGAGAATTTCATAATGTTTATATATATTCTTCATTCCAATAAATACATTTCTATGAAGAGAAAAATAACTACCAACCTATTGAAAATTATAAGACAAACTGCACTTTCCCTTTATGGACTGGTGAAAGTGACCTAAGGATTATCTAGTGTAACCCATTAACAGATGGCCTGTGAAGGCAGGTGACCAGGTTGGTCATCCCAGGGTATATGTTAGAACTGTACATGAGAAGGCTTTTAGGGCCACAGCGAGGTAGAGTGGCATGTCCACCTTTTTACCTCGGTGACATCCAGGCTTGCCTGGGGCCAGGGAAGAGAGCCCAGGTCACTATTTCCCATACATGGAGTAGTTGGAGAGCTTTTGAAAAACCAGTCCTCAAATATATTGAAACTATTTCTAAAACCTAGATCAAAGTGACAAACATTCATGGACACAATACCCTAAATTAACACATTTCAAAATTTGGTTTTACTTTTTTAAGATATCTGTGTTTAAAAGGAGATGAGTAAGTGAGCACATCCATCAGAGAAGCAGGGCATCAGAGATGAAGTTAAACCCTTTGTCTCACTTCCTCTGTCTTATTTACCCCCTCTCTCTCCAGAGGAAGTAGCACACCTGCTTTGACTGTGCTTCCTTCCTGTGTTGTTCTCTAGGTGTTAAAATGTTGACCTGAACGCCCTCACAGCATGGGTAACATCTGTGTCATCTACCCACGCTGAGCCTGTGAATCAGGTGTCTTCATCTTAACTCTCTGTATGAGTCTATTGAAACACCACACAGTAATGTCTTCATCCATTGCATTTCTGACCCAGTTCAGGTTGTTGCTAACTTTTCTCATGACAGCTTTAGCTGCAATAAGCCTTATCGGTCCCGTCTCCTAGAACCCATGTGCAGTGTGCCCCTTAGGAGGCATGCCTGAAAAGGAGTGACTTTTCATTGGTGATTCTCCTCTTCATTGGAGTTGCTCTCCACCAGTGAGGTCTGGATTATCTATCCTGCTACTGATTCAATAAAACTTGATATTGTCACATTTCTAAATTTTTTTTGCCAGAGTTGTGAAATATTACCTATAAGGGTTTAGGTTATATATTTCTGATTGCTAGTGTGAAGAACCATTTTCTATGTACTTATCAGACAGGTTTCTTTTTCTCTAAACTTCTTGCTAGTTTTACTTGGTTACTAGTCTTTTATGTAACTTTTTCTGGATATTAAGTTTTTGCTTATGTCATGCATTGCAAATATTTTCTCTTATTATTGCTTTTCTTGTATTACTGCTTTTCTTTTATATTTGTGGTATTCTTTGCAGAAGTCTCTAAATGTGATACAGTCAAATTTAGGTCTTTTCCTTTTTGTATGTTTTGTTTTTCTGTCTTGCCTGAGAAACTTTTTTTTAAACTTAAAAGTGGTTGAATTTTTCATGATTAGGTCTTTAATTTATTTGGAATTTATTTTTGTGTAAGGGCTAATTTTAGTTTTTTTCTTTATGGAATATTAATTGTCCTATCATTTATTTAATCATATTTCCTTTCTCTCCTACTTTGCAATACTTCTATCCTCATCTAATATGTGTCTGAACTGTTCATGAGCAGCATCATTATGCCCATTTTGCAGAGGAGGAAAAAGAGAAATAGAGCATTATTGCTAATTTACCAGAGGTCAAGGTAAGTGAGAATGTTGGGATTCAAATGAAAGTGTTTTGATGCCCAAAGACTATATTTTTGGCCCATCAGTCAAGAATAGAAAATGGATCATCAGGCAAAAACTGACAAGACTTTTCAAACTATCCATTTTTTATTTAAAAATAGTATCAAACCTAAGAAAAGTTGCAAGAATAAGAATAGTGCAAAGAACAGTTGTACGATTTGCTGGTTTCTTTAACAAATTACCTCGCTTGCTTTATCATATGCTCTCTCTCTCTGTAGATAGGGAGAACACATGATAAAACAAATGTGGTTATATGTATATCTGTATTTATAATCTCTATTGATCTTTATGTAGATAATAGCTATGTTTTTATGAAACAGAAAATACCTATTATATATAGTAGATATATTTATACATATACATATATACAGAGAGAGACACATACACACAGAGATTTTTTTCCTGAGCCACTTGAGATTAACTTATATACATCACTTAAAAAAAACCCTAAATACATTAATGTGTATTTTTTAAAACTCAAGATAGGGTTCAGTGGTAAATAATCCTCCTGCCAATGTAGGAGATGCAGGAGATGAGGGTTCAATCTCTGGGTCGGGAAGATCCCCAGGAGTATGAAATGGCAACTAACTCTAATATACTTGCCTGAAAAATTCCACAGACAGAGGAGCTTCATGGGCTATAGTCCATGGGGCAGCAGAGAGTAACACACACACCACTGAGTGACTGAGCATGTACAATCTCTCACAAAACTACAGTCACAGGATAGTTACCAACTTCAGGAAGTTAGCACTGACCAAATTTTTCATGTAATCTATCATAGTCCAGTATTTCAGGGGACCTCACAATGATCTTTGCAGCTTTCACTGTGTCTCAGGCAAGGAGCCAGTGGCGAGGATCTGGTGTTGTGTTTGGTTGCCCTGTCTCTTTAACCTTCTTTAATCTGGAACATCTCCACAAATTTTGTTCGTTTATGATACTGATGTTTGAAGGTTTCTGTTCCCTTTTTTCATGGAACATTCCTCAATTGGGAGTTTGTCTGATATCCTAATGATCAGATTCCAGGGGTCCGTTCCCCATCAGAAAGCTCCATAAACTGA